TCAGCTGTGGGCAGAGGGCGGGGCTAAGGTAGGGCAAGGCCTAATCTCCTCGGCCTAGTCTCATTTTCTTCACATAGGCCGACTTCCCAGGACCGAGGAAACACAGCAGAAGGTAGGGCTGTAGGGCAGTTCATTAAAAACTTTTTTTTTAATGCCTGCTCCAAAGGTCTTATCTTAATACACTAGGGATTATATAACTATATATGAAATTTCGTGCATATCAGTTAATATCTTGACCCTACACTGAATTGAAATTTCAGCCTTCATGACATAGGAAAACGGCCAAATAAACAGCTATTTTCGTGGAGGAGGGTCAAGATATTAACTGATAAGCATGAAATTTCATATATAGCTATATAATCCCCAGTGTAGTAAGATAAGACCTTTGGAGCAGGCATTTTTTTAAAAAAAGGTTTTTATGAACCGCCCTAGTAGGGCAGTACAATGGTACCTCAGGTTACATACGCTTCAGGTTGCATACGCTTCGGGTTACATACGCTTCGGGTTACCGACTCCGCTAATCCAGAAATTATTACCTCAGGTTAAGAACTTTGCTTCAGGATGAGAACAGAAATAGTGCTCCAGCAGCGCAGCGGCAGCAGGAGGCCCCATTAGCTAAAGTGGTGCTTCAGGTTAAGAACAGTCCTCCAGAACGAATTAAGTTCTTAACCTGAAGAACCACTGTAATTGTTCCTTGATAATTTGTCACCCCCCTCCACGATGGCACAGGGGACGGCCCACCCCCACCTTCCTACGCCCCTGCGCAAGCTATAATGTTTTAGGCAATGCAAGCAGATATGGAGGTTCTGCCATATCTGTAATGCCCTCTTTCCATAGCTGTCAACTTTCGGATTTGAAAATAAGGGATCAGTAGCCTCACCTGTCCTGGAGACAGTCTACGGGATATCTAACAATCCGGGATAGCAGCAGGAAACGGTGCTGAAATAAGGGAATTTCCTGCAAAAAAAGGGAAGGTTGACAGCTATGCCTCTTTCCTTATGGCAGTTATCAAGTAATGAATATGCATGTGTGAGTTGGCCCTTAATCTGTCCAAAGCAGTCTGGTTTCGCTAAACTTCCTCTGTCCTTATTATCAGATTTAATGATGATATTAAGTTCATGATTGGACACAAACCCAATATCTTCTGGCAGGCCACCTGGAGATTTATCAGTCCTCTTATCATGTTGGTTATCTTCTTTTTTTACTTTGTGGTGAAAGTGGGAGAAGAATTACGATACATTGTCTGGGATCCCAAATCTGTAAGTACACATGTTCAAAGAACCACACCCCAAGTTATTTTATGGGGTTCTCTTCATGCTCAGCATGCCTTTGATTGCCCAATCTACTTTGGTTTTTTGGATGTTGAGTGATAGGCCAAGCTTTTCATAAGCTTCTGCGAAGATATTTACGATGGATTGGAGGTCATCCTCTGAGCGTGCACACACTAAGTTGTCATCAGCATACTGAAGCTCTATGATGGAATTTGTGCTAACCTTACTCTTTGCTTTCAGCCTGCTCAGATTAAAGAGCTTTCCATTTGTTTGATATATGATTTCTACTCCGGAGGGGAGTTTTCCTTCAACAAAGTGTAGGATCATGGCAATGGAAATAATGAATAGAGTTGGGACGATAACAACCCTGTTTAACACCTGATCCCACTGTGAATGGTTCACTTTGAGAGCCCTTGTTACCTGCGATTGTTGCTGTCATATCATGGAGGAGCCAAATGTTCACAAATTTATCTGGGCAGCCAATTTTCAGAAGGACAGTCCACAGGGCATTACGGTTTACAGTGTTGAAGGCCTGAGTCAGTTCAATAAACACAATATACAGGGTTAGTTTTGCTCTCCACGTTTTTCTTGAAGCTGTCAAGCGGTGAAAATTATGTTCACCGTCCCCCTAGAAGGTCTAAAACCATTTTGGGATTCAGGAAGGGTCACCTCGGATATTATTAAGGATTTTGCCAGCCACAGCTAATAGAGAGATGTCTTTGATAGTTTCCACAATCTATTCTGTCACCTTTTTTAAAGAGATTGATAATTTTGGCATCCCTAAAGTATACTGGGATCTCCTCTCTCTCCCAGATTTTGCCGATGAGCTTGTGAAGTTGTTGTGTAGGTTCAATTCCACCTACTTTGAAGACTTCGGCAGGTATCCCATTAGGTCTGCTGGCTTTGTTGTTTTTCATTTGGTTAATAGCTGTACACAACTCTCCCACATTTGGAGATACTGCAAGCTCATCTTAAATTTTTTTTTGCAGAATTTGTGAGAGGACCTCAGCAGCTATGGGGGAGTTGCGGTTAAGGAGATTTTGGTAATGTTCTTTCCACTGCAGTGCAATAGCTTTATTTTTTAGAAGTGTGGAACCATTTGCAGGGGGCATATGCCATAATTTATTGTGTTGGCTAAGTGCTGGATCTCTTGAGCTTTTTTTATCCACCAGGTGTTTTTTAGTTCTCTGATTCTTCTTTGAACTTCAGCCTTAGCGTTGGCATAGGTTTTTTTCTTAGTGGCACAGTTTCTCTCTCTTTGCCAGATCTGAAAGGCCTTCCTTTGCTTGTCAACAATGCGTTCAATCTCACTGTCATTCTCACTTGTGGTGTTTCTTGGTTTGGTATCCAATAGTTTGTTCACAGGCTTCAATTATGGATGTTTTTAGCTTGGTCCAGTGTTTCTTGATGTCATCAGGGAATTCCAAAAGCAGATGGTCCTTAAGGGTCCTTTGGAAGCAGTCCCGCTTAATAGGCTCTTGAAGGACTTGAGTGTTCATTTCAGCCTTGGTTTCCTTCCTTGAATCATATGTTGAAGTATAATATTGATAGCCATTGTGGGGCGTATTAATCGGTCGGATCTGTCCAGCATTCGTCATAGCTCTGATAAGGAGTACATTACGGCGATCTTCAGCTTGGATAATTACATAGTCTAAGAGGTGCCATTGGTTTGATCGAGGGTGCCTCCATGATGTTTTGAATTTATTTTTTGTCAAAAGGATGTGTTAGTAATAGCAAGGTTGTGCGCTGCATATATAGTCAAAGGTAAGATTCCGTTCTGGTTGCTGTTGCCAATTCCTTCTTTCCCAATAGTCGAAATCTTGCCCAACTCTTGCATTAAAATCACCCAGGAGGATAATTTTATCCTCCTGAGGCATCCCTGATAGGGTGGTATCCCGCAGGGAGTAAAAAATTTCTTTGATGTCTTCATCAGCTTCCAATGTTGGTGCATAAGCGCTTAGAATAGTAGCCTATTGGTTTTTGGCGATTTTTTTTTTTGAAGGGTTGAAAGTTGCTCATTAATGCTGGTAGGGACTTCTGACAGGAGCTTTACAAGATTGTTTTTGATAGCAAAGCCTACTCCATGTATTCGATGTTCTTGCTCAGGTGGACCTTTCCAGAAGAATGTGTAGCCTCCTTTTTCTTCCTTCAGGTGTCCCTCACCTGCTCTTTGAGTTTCTTGAAGCGCTGCAATATGGATGTTAAAACCACAGCTCTCTTCCAATTATGGCAGTTCTGCCTTTGGGACGCTCATTATCAGTGTTATCCGACAGGGTCTGTATATTCCATGTTCCAAAGTTCAATTGTCTTTTACAGCCACTGGGTGGTGACCCCACCGGGCGTAATCCAGTCAAGGAAAAAGGGAGACAGACTATGTTTAGAACACATTTTCTAGCCCCTCCCACTTTTTGGGGGTGAGCAGAATGGATCCTAAGTAGGGCTGCTCAGTCAGTTGCCATCTCATAGCTCGCAATTGTGGCATTTTCATTTGACTCGCAGGCTCTTGTGAAAAATCACTATTGTGACATTAAAACAGCTTCAAGTGCTTACACTTTTCACTGCAGTCGTGCCCTGTTAGTTTGTCGTATGTGCTATGTCTCGACTGGTAGTGTCTCTTGACATTAAATTCCTCATAAACAGCCACAGTCTCTTGGCGTATCAGACAAACACAGTGATTCTGTATTTCAGTGAAGAAATATTCCACTTTCCACCTGTCCTGGAAGCGGTGGTCCTGTCAACTTTCCTTCCCTTATTTACAGTTGCCATTTTAAAAATTGGCCAGAAGGGGATGAGATCATGTGAGCGCAGTGCCAGAGGTTTTGGTCTAAGTGTGTTCGCCCAAGCCCTAATTATACTAAGTGTGTTCACCCGAGCACTAATACACTGTCCAACAAGAAGTCGCCAGAGATCTCTTCCAAATGAAGTTACGCTGTAATGACAAGTGAGGGGTAGTGTTTGGAGGCGGTGTCTTGTAGCCTCCTGTAATAAACTTTGATTTTTTTTACTTTTAGCCTTATGTGCCCTTCTGCACTATTGTCTATTGTCCCCTGTCCTGAATAAAGATGGCAAGTGCAGGTTCTCCTCAGTTACAGCAAAGATGAATTGCCTGCCCTTGTGACTATGTGTGGTGAAGACACAGCGCAGGGAGAAGGAATGCACCAAATTCCACGAGGCCCATGAGATCGCGAGAACGCAGACTGAGGATGTGCAGTCCCACGGTGTAGAAAGATCCAGAGATCCCATGGGTCCTGAGCAGCGCTCGGGGATTCACTGGGGGGCCACAACAGATTGATTTTGCCAAATTACCTGAGGGGCTGTATTAAACCAGAACTCGGGTCGCAATTGGCCTGCAAGCCAGACTTAGGACATGACTGTCCTAATGGGAAATCATGTTGGCCCACCAACATGCTTAAGTTTCTGATTAATGCATGAAGGGGTTAATACCATAGAGTATGCTGTCCTTACAGGCTTAACTATCTACTTCCCCTCACCTTGGAAGGAACTAGTAATCAAGCCTTTGTTCTCCACTTTCCTCGAGATGCTCAGCATGTGAAGAGGTTTGAGTTGATTGCTCCAGCTCAACTGCATGGCTCTCAGCATCCATTCTTGAGTTCCTCTACCAATAATTTAGGACCTTTCACAGCTTTGTAACTAAGGTGAATATTACTGCCTGAGCAACCTTTTATGAAACACATGAACCTGACCTGAGTGTGTAAGTAAACCATTTTTTAACTTACCAAACGTTGTGGCCTTTTTCCTATGCTAGGGGAAGAGGGAACCTTTGGGAAAGGTAATACAATTTAGAGTTTAGATTATTTCTTTACTGCTTTGAAGTAGTAAGATTTTTTTCTGTTAACTTCAGTACCTCATCTCAACTCTGTAATGTGTGGCTGTAGGCTGCTAGGTTATTTTATCTGCATTCTTTGGTGTGATGTCACAGATGGAAGTTCCATCCATTGTTCAGAATTCATCTGCTGCGCCCCCCCCCCCGCTACTTACTTGGTTCAGTGAGGAGGTTCAGTTGCCTGGCAGCTGCTAATATTGGAGAAACTTGTGCTGAAAGTGGGAAAAAAGAGGTTGCAAAGATGGCAACTGATCAACCTGAAGGCGGAGTTGAAGAGTATAAAGTAAAGATGGAAACTGATGAATCTGAAGGCAGCGATGAAGAGTACATAAGGCCCAAGTGGGATAGTAAATTGCAGTACCTTTTAAGCTGTGCTGGATTTGTTGTGGGTCTTGGAAATGTGTGGCGTTTTCCATACTTGTGCCAAACTTATGGAGGAGGTAAGAGAAAACCCACCTTTTCATTGGAGATTAGTTGAGTGATTGTTCAGACTTAAACTACGACAAGCTACTTGTGTTCTAAAATAATGTTATCTGTTTGGGGTGTTTGGCTGTGTTCCAGACCTCTGTAATCTCTGGATCCAGCAACTGTTAAAATTTAATCAATGCTTCTAATTCTTGGAATAGCCAGGCTAGCCTCCCAGTGAGGCGATAGCCTGGGTGGTGAGCCATTAAGGGAGATTAAGGGGCTCTATGTGGCATGGAGAGCCGCGGGGGGGGGGTGCTGTGGGTTAAACCACGGAGACTAGGACTTGCCGATCAGAAGGTTGGCGGTTCAGATCCCCCCAACAGGGTGAGCTCCCATTGCACAGTCCCTGCTCCTGCCAACCTAGCAGTTCGAAAGCACATCAAAGTGCAAGTAGATAAATAGGTACCGCTCCGGTGTTTCCGTGCGCTGCTCTGGTTCGCCAGAAGCGGTTTAGTCGTTCTGGCCACATGACCCGGAAGCTGCACGCCGGCTCCCTCGGCCAATAAAGCGAGATGAGCGCCGCAACCCCAGAGTCTGTCACGACTGGACCTAATGGTCAGGGGTCCCTTTACCTTTATGTGGCCTTGAAGTAAAGCAGCAAGCTGGGGAGAAAGTTGGAGCAAAGTTTGGGAGCAATGTTTGATTTCTGTTTGAATACAAAGCTGAAGCCTTTTGGGGTCTTGATGCTGTGAACACCTCCATTGTAGGCTCAGGTTGCATATAGGTGTAAATAAACCATATATCCTAAAGACACCACAGTCTCAGCCTCATTCCCTAAGGAAACACGCAAAATTCACCACATGTGGATTCAAGAGGCTCTCAATTGTATATGCAGCTGCAGCTGCAAAGGTACTTAAATGCAAGAGCAACTTTAGACAAAGACCAAAGGAGCTATGAACACCTGAGCTGACTCTAGCTGATTTCCATCAAAGTTGATTAACTTTAGAAAACAACACTGCCAAATCAAAAGAGACAAACCCATTTTGTTCTACCACTATATGACTTTTAGGAACACTAACATGGAACGAGGTAAATGATTGGTAGGGGAGGCATAAATGCTTTATGCGTTCCCAGTTTTTGAAGTATCATATGACAGAATCATAAAAGCATTGTCCAGAATGGATTGTTTGCAGAGAGCTTCTTTCCTCCCCCCCCCTCACATATGCCAGAAAAAAAATGTGAATAAAAACAAACTAAAATGTAACTGTAAAAACAGCAGCTAGGAATCCTCAGATCAATGAAACAATATTTTTTCCCATCACATTCACCTTCTAGATCTTCCACAGCACCACTTAGATGTGCTTTCAATGCATGCCGCAGTAAAGAAAACAAAACCCCTCTAACAATTAGTTGTATATTATTGCCTTTTTGCACAGATCTAAGCAGGAAGATTGTATACAATCTTCCGCGGCGGGGTGCGCTCCCGTTGCTCGGTCCCAGCGCCTGCCCACCTAGCAGTTCGAAAGCACCCTCAGGTGCAAGTAGATAAATAGGGACTGCTTACTGGTGGGAAGGTAAACGGCGTTTCCGTGTGCTGCGGTGGCTCGCCAGATGCGGCTTTGTCACGCTGGCCACGTGAACTGGAAGTGTCTCCGGACAGCGCTGGCCCCTGGCCTCTTAAGTGAGATGGGCGCACAACCCCAGAGTCTGTCAAGACTGGCCCGTACGGGCAGGGGTACCTTTACCTTAAGCAGGAAGAAGGGACGCGGGTGGCACTGTGGGTAAAACCTCAGCGCCTAGGACTTGCTGATCGTATGGTTGGCGGTTCGAATCCCCGCGGCGGGGTGAGCTCCCGTCGTTCGGTCCCAGCTCCTGCCCACCTAGCAGTTCGAAAGCACTCTTAAGTGCAAGTAGATAAATAGGTACCGCTTTATAGCGGGAAGGTAAATGGCATTTCCGTGTGCTGCTCTGGTGCAGGATCGCCAGAGCAGCTTCGTCACGCTGGCCACGTGACCCGGAAGTGTCTCCGGACAGCGCTGGCCCCCGGCCTCTTAAGCGAGATGGGTGCGCAACCCCAGAGTCGGATACGACTGGCCCGTACGGGCAGGGGTACCTTTACCTTTAAGCAGGAAGAACATAATTGGCTGACTCCATGTAAGAGTTAAAACACTGGTTCCTAAGACTTAAAAGTCCCAGTACCCTTTAAAAAGAAATTCTGGGCGAAATTGATGAAGTAGCAAAATTTATTGAAAGGAAAACACCATTGCAAGGGTGGGTGACCAATACAGGCACACCTGGTTCTGGAAAAACGCATTTATAAAGTCTCTCATCTGGCCGAAAGTCCCTCCTCCGCCCGCCCACTAGGACGGAGCAGGCAACGTTTATAGCCTACCACGTCTGCCTTATTAACAAATTACCAGCCTACTTCCCCTGTTCATCATTGTACAGTACAAATATGGTCAAAGCTCCCTTGCATTTTACCTATTTTACCTATTGACATAAGCAGCTGTCTTAGTAATATTCTGGTTAACCACTATTTGTTCCCAATGCAAGCACAAGCTAGTTTCATATCTGATAAAGCTAAAAGGGCAAACCACAGTTTGCTAATTAGTTGTTCCAGTCCCAGGTGTCAGTGGGTTTCCGTGTCTGGGTCTCAACCACAAGCTATATGATGTTCCGTGCATTCTGACCACAGGTTTTGCTAAATGTGTATATCTTGGAGCCGTTTGAGGTCACCTATCAGCACTCCCGGGTGCAAGTAGATAAATAGGGACCGCTTACTAGCAGGAAGGTAAACGGCGTTTCCGTGTGCGGCTCTGGCTCGCCAGAGCAGCGATGTCACGCTGGCCACGTGACCCGGAAGTGTCTCCGGACAGCGCTGGCCCCCGGCCTATAGAGTGAGATGGGCGCACAACCCTAGAGTCTGTCAAGACTGGCCCGTCCGGGCAGGGGTAACTTTACCTTTACCTTATCAGCTACATTCCCAGAAATTTGCAACCCTTATCTGATTCTATGCATCCTAGATTTATCAGGTAGCCAATTTGCAACTCTTCAGATTTTACACACACACTATGGATTGAGGTCTTATATTTAAAAAGCATTACTAAAAGCATCCTTAAAATGAAAAAGCAGCCATAGCCCCGGGCACAGAATTCTGAGGGGACACAACCAGCGCCCCCCCCCCATGCATTGGCTTCCCCACCCCAGCAAAAGCAGAAAAGCAGTCCAGACCCATGGTATGCAGGCAGGGATGGAGGGAGATGGACAAGGGCACCCCAGCACAACCTGGCCTGGCACTCCTCTCTATGGGGGGGGGGATTCGCCCTCCAAGGGCTATGGCGGCTTGCTGGGCTTTCCCTTGTATGGTCAGGCAGGTGGCACCGGGAACCCACGCTATGCCACTGCTATGAGCTAACTGTGCTTGGCTATTGTGTTTCTAGGGGTATTCCTGATTCCATACCTCATCGCGTTTGTGTTGGGAGCCATCCCTGTATTTTTTCTTGAATTAGCTATCGGGCAATGCTTGAAAAAAGGCTGCATTCGACTCTGGTGGCACATCTCTCCTTACCTGGGAGGACTGGGTAGGTTTCTGTAACTGCCTTTACTTGTGATTATACAATCTTCTAATCATTGCTCCTTCCTGGAAATGCATGGGCTCTGTGAGGCTGTAATAGCAAACTCAGTCGTAGTAAACTCAGGCAGTTGTCTGGAACATACGGTAAACAGGGACACTCAGGGGCAGCCTTTCCGATTTCACCACCTGAGGCAAAATGGAAATTGCATCCCCCACCCCACTCAGTTTGTTTAATTCACAGAGCAATGTTCTTTTCCAGACTGCCAGAGTTCAGATAGTCATTGGATTTGATCTTTCATTTGTGCAGATCAGACTCCTGCAATTGTCTTTGTTCATGCCAATTCTGCGTCTGCTTGCATATTCCACAGGTTACACTTCTCTGATATTGTCCTTCCTAGTGATTCTCTATTACAATATGCTTTTATCCTTGGTGTTATGGTATCTTATAAATTCTTTCCGAAACCCGTTACCTTGGAGTTCCTGCCCAACAGATACCAGCAAACCAGGTGAGTTCCCAAGTCTATTGCTGCTTTCTGTTACGGTATTAGTATCTGCTTTTCTAGGTATCCTTCAGCCACCACATAAAATTGTTTGTCCAACTCTACTACAGTCGGCAATTGTTAGACCCAGCTTTGTCCCTGCCATGCCTCCTTTGGCCGTAGGGAATAGGATATGAACTGAACTAAACACTTGGCAGAGTAATGCAACAGAGGTAGAATAATAATAATATTTTTATTTATACCCTGCCCATCTGAAAGAAGCAGCAGTAAGTTCATGTTTAAGGCACAGCTTAGTTTAATAATGGTTTAAAGTGTTGTGTAGTTGGGGCCAATAGCTTAAAGCAGGTGTGGTGGATCTTCACGCCCTCCAGCTCTTACTGCACTACAGCACCCACGATCCCTGGCCCTAGGCCATGCTTGCTGGGGCTGATGGGAGTTGTGGTTCAAGGACAGCTGGAGGTCCAAAGGTTCCCCACTCCTGGCTAGTTTACTAGTTATGCCAAAGCAAGAGCTTCCTGTGCAGAGAGAACTGATGCCTGAAGAAAGGCCCCATTCCTGCCCCTTCCCTTTCATGGCTTTGAGAGGATAAGGCACATATCCATTCACCCGGGGCTGTGCCTGGTTGCATCCCTAACCCAAATATATGTAGGGCTGGAGAGTTTTGTTCCAGGCTTGGTCTGGAAGAGCTGAGGTGAAGCATCTCCTCTTGATGTCATTCTTTTGGGAAGCCCTGTTTGTCAATCAAGAGGAGGCTATTCCCCAAACTAAACAATACCTCAGTCTAGAACTCCAGAAGAGAGGGGTTTATGGTGGGTTCACATTTTCCTTAAGAACAAAACAAAAAATGGAATGGAGTTTTTAAAATGCAGTGTACCATCTGCACGCTCAGTTGGTGCAGAATGGGACAACTGCATATTCCTGATCGTCAGGATCCTTTCCAACTCTTCTATGATTCTATCTGTTTTGATAATGCCTTCTGTGCTTGTTATTCCAGAACTTATTGAAGAATGTCACAAAAGCACACCTACCAATTATTTCTGGTATAGGTACACTTTAAACATAAGCACGGATATTGGAAACAGTGGCCCGCTTCAGTGGTGGCTTGTTTTATGTTTGGCAGCCTGCTGGTTACTTGTGTTCATTTGTACAGTACGAGGAATTGAATCGACTGGAAAGGTGAGCAGGGATTATTACCAGACATCTGTATTTCACTGACCTGGTCCTTACTAAAGTGGTAAAGCCACCTTTGGACTGCACCACGTGAGATAGGAGGCAGCTCACATGAATGAATGTTCTACCATATTTTTTAAAAGGCACCTGCCCATTGAAAACTAATGCGTCTGCGAGGAGGCTAGGTTAGAATCCACATGCAAGAGGGTTTTTTTTGCATGTGTTTGATAATCTTATTACCTGCCTACAGTTAGAAATGGTACAGTCCAGACAGAAGATAGAGTATTATCTAATATTCTATTTTTAAATTTAGGGGGTGAGGGCCTGCCATTTTGTAGCTGAAATAGCAGTATCCTCGCAGAATATGCATGGCTCAGCATTAATATCTTGGCTTATGTTTGTGGTATTTCCACTGAATGGTTCCCAATATGTAAAGGAAATGAGGAGGAAAATTGTGGATTAATTAGCTATAAAGTACAACTATGAGGAACACAAGAGTTCCTACTAGACTACAGGGCTAAAGCACCTTGGGAAGGAACAGCAGTTTAGATGGCCTGACTCGGACTGCGTCATAAAACGTCATAATGAATAGTCAGTTGAATAATATATTGCCTGTCTTATGGTGTATTTAACTTTTGAGGTCCACTGTGTGAAACTGCTTCTTCTCCACTGTAGATAAACCATATTTCAAAAAGTTAAGATCCCGACACAAAAAGCTGTTGAGCTTTATTTCTGATTGGGCAGCCATGCACCCGATTTCTGAAAAAGCAGTCCAGATGAATCGCAGGAAATTCTGGATGTATGGCAGCCCTAGATACATCTAATAAAACAGACTGTAGTTCCTTAAGTTGTCACAAGGTGTTTTCTTTCTTCTTTTTTCTGCAACAGACTAAAGGCTGGTTAACACATGCATGCTTGCCTCTTCAATCAATCAATCAATCAATCAATCAGCCAATTAGTATCCTACTTTTCATCCAAAGAGTTCAAGCTACTCTCTCTTTCCTCTTGCACACAATCTGCTCACAATCCTTCAGTTGGTTAGACTGGAGAACTTTCTCAAGAACTGTCTCAAGAACTGGCTTCATGGCCATAGGCACCAACTTGGACAAAATGTTGGGAGGGGGCCCCCACTGCCTGCACTTCCCCCACCTCCCTGCACTTCTGTGGAGCACACCTCCACAGGTTTCCTCAATTCAAGTCTGCCATGTTAACCACTGCTGCACCACACTGGATGGCACCATTATGTGGTGATTTACACACATGCATGAGCTGCTGTAGCTCAAACATGGCAGATAGAACTTCTACATTTCCTCAAACCACGCTAAACAAAAACAGTTTTTCACTGAGTTGGATTCAGCTGCAACTGTTTAGTAATTTTGTGTGCACAGTATCTGTTTCATGGTATTGCCTTAACCTCTTCCTGACACTCACTTTTTTCTTCTCTGTTTTGCTCTTCCTCTTAGGCAATATATTTTACAGCCACATTTCCTTACCTAATTCTAACATTATTCCTAATTTATGGACTGACTCTCCCAGGAGCCGTTCACGGATTACTCTACTTCATGACTCCTAATGCAAGTATTTATTCAATTGATCCTTGGTGTTCCAGATGATGTACGGAAAGTCTGACTTGGTCTTTTAGAGGTGGCTTTGAACTTTGAACTTTCCTCCATGCTGCTTCTTTGTTTACCACTTAATACTAGTTGGGATCCACACATATTCTGGCAATTGTACTTTGTTAACTCCCTCTGGAATCTATTGTACTTTGTTAACTCCCTCTGGAATCCACGAAGAACAGAAACTTGTGTAAAAAGTGCCCTTTTCTAAAATTCATGAATATAGACAACCCTGGGTCAAATAATATTTTTCGGCAGACTGGGCAGAACTACACTTCATTGTGCCAGCATGGGGTGTCCCAGTTCTGTATTTGACTTGTTATGCTGGGGCGAATGCAGAGATGGAGAGATGCATTTGCAGAGGAAGCCAGTGGGCAGCAACTTAATCCTCCCTGTGCCCACCAATTCTTCCCTACAAATGCTCCCCTGGGCTGCTTCTTATTTCTCCGTCTGGCAGGGTCCAAGACTGCAAGACACCCAAGTGAATGTAAAACTGCTCTAGTGAGCATCATAGGGACGCGGGTGGCGCTGTGGGTAAAACCTCAGCGCCTAGGACTTGCCGATCACATGGTCGGTGGTTCGAATCCCTGCGGCGGGGTGCGCTCCCGTCGTTCGGTCCCAGCTCCTGCCCACCTAGCAGATCGAAAGCACTCTTAAGTGCAAGTAGATAAATAGGGACCGCTTTCTAGCGGGAAGGTAAACGGCGTTTCCGTGTGCTGCGCTGGTGCCGGCTCGCCAGAGCAGCTTCATCACGCTGGCCACGTGACCCGGAAGTGGTGATGGGCGCACAACCCTAGAGTCTGGCAAGACTGGCCCGTACGGGCAGGGGTACCTTTACCTTTACCTTACCACCAAACATGGAAAGAGTTAAGCGCTTTCTCCTACACACTGATTCTGCCCCTCCAGCAAGCCCCCAGCAGGCAGTTTGTGAAACACAGGAATTATGAGACTAATGATGTTTTTAGCCCTGAGCTCTCTCTTTCTCTCTCACAGCTCAGGAAACTCAACAATCCACGTGCCTGGCTTGATGCAGCCACCCAGATTTTTTCCTCTCTTTCTTTAGGATTTGGGGGACACATAGCATATGCAAGCTACAACCCGTCAAGGTAGGTTAGTTAGCTTTCGCTCACAATGTGGAGGGGAGTTGTTTGACGCAGTCAAATTGACTTCTGTGAGATAGCGCCTCAGTAATCTCTGGAGACAAGACTCAATTCATTCAGCCCACACTGGAGCCCAGGAAAAGCGTCTGGCTCTGTTCGCTTGATGTTTCCCTGTGTGAGTCCCAAAGATGCCCTTTATTGTTCTTTCTGCAATGCCAGTGTTGGGCAGATGCCCCAGTACACAGGCTGTCGCACAGAAACAGCGGTAGGTTGCATACGCATGTCTGCCTGTGAAGATCTTCACATCATTTGCAGGAAGGATGGGAGTGAATGTGGAAGTGGGAAAAGTTCAGCTAAGTTTGAGATGCAATACTTTATGATTAATGAGTCCCACTGAAGTCAGCTGCAGCCCTGACTTGAGATTTTTTATTTTTGATCAGAAGGCAAGTGACTGAGGCAGCTGCATGTTCTCAATACAGTGGTACCTCTGGTTACGAACTTACCGTATTTTTCGCCCTATAGGACGCACTTTTCCCCCTCCAAAAATGAAGGGGAAATGTGTGTGCGTCCTATGGGGCGAATGCAGGCTCCTTGGCTTCAGCGATAGCAACGCGAAGCCTCCGAAGCCTGCGCTCCGGAGGCTTCGCGTTGCTTTCGCTGAAGCCAGGAGAGTCTGCTCTTTGAGGCTGGCAGTGGGGGAAAGCAGCGCTTCCCCCCATCGCCAGCCCCAGAGGATCGGGGGGCAGCGGGAAGGTAAGCGACGCCTTCGCGCTGCTCCCCGAGCCTGCTTTGAGGCTGGCGGTGGGGGAAAGCAGTGCTTCCCCCCCATCGCCAGCCCCACAAGCTCGGTTGAAAAGCCCGCAGGAGCCGCACACTCTTTAAAGGGTGTGTGGCTTCTGCGGGCTTTTCTATGAGGTGGGGGAATTCCCCCACCTCGCAGAAAAGCCCGCAAGAGCCGCGCAGCCTTTAAAGAGCACGCAGCTCTTGGGGGCTTTTCCCTAAGGAGGGAAGAAGGGACTGACTGGCTGAGTCAGTCCCTTCTCCCTCCTGTGGGCTTTTGCTGGAGATGGGGAAATTCCCCAACCTCCCGCAAAAGCACGCAGAAGCCGTGCGCTCTTTAAAGGGTGTGCGGCTTCTGCTGGCTTTTCTACGGGGGGGGGGGAGAATCCTCCACCTCGTAGAAGAGCCCGCAGGAGCCGCACACCCTTTAAAGAGTGCACCACTCTTGGGGGCTTTTCCCCAAGGAGGGAGAAGGGTCTGACTGGCCGTTTCAGTCCCTTCTCCCTCCCGGTCGAAAAGCCCGCAGGAGACGCGCACGGTGGGGGAATTCCTCCACCTCCCGCAAAAGCAGGGAGAAGGTCTTGGAGTAGTGCACAGGCTGCTGTCCGGTGTTCCCGGAGCTGCGGGGGAGGAAATCATATGTTTTTCCTTGATTCCCCCCCCCTGAAAACTAGGTGCGTCCTGTGGGCCAGTGCGCCTTATAGGGCTAAAATACGGTAATTCCTTCCGGAGGTCCGTTCTTAACCTGAAACCTAGTGGTTCTCTAGTGGTTCATGTATTAAAACTGAAAGCTGCTTTGAGTCCCGTCAGGGAAAAAGATGGGGTATAAACAAATTAATAACAATGACAAAACAACACATTCCAGCTATTTAGTTTTTGTGGCAATATGTCACCTGTGCTTGGCCATTTCTTCAGGCCCATCTTGCAGCCAAAGAGAATCTGGCAGGCTAAGCTCTTCTAACCAGTTTAAAGTCTTCTGCAGAAACCAGCATTCACAGCATTGGAAGAGGGACCCTAGGACTAATTTTGCCTCCCCCCTTCTCCAATTTCATTGAAATGATTGTTCATTGCTTCTTGCATTCCAGTTTGTCAGCCTAAAAATGGAAAGATGGATTTGAAGCCTCCAGGAAATGGCATTGTTTGAGGGCATACACAAGCTTAAACCGAGAGTATGTCGTGTAAATGGCAAGCTCCATCCATTTATTATTATTATTATACCCTTGATGGGACGTGGGTGGCGCTGTGGGTAAAACCTCAGTGCCTAGGACTTGCTGATCGCATGGTCGGCAGTTCGAATCCCCGCGGCGGGGTGCGCTCCCGTCGTTTGGTCCCAGCGCCTGCCAACCTAGCAGTTCGAAAGCATCCCCGGGTGCAAGTAGATAAATAGGGACCGCTTACCAGCGGGAAGGTAAACGGCGTTCCGTGTGCTGTGCTGGCTCGCCAGATGCAGCTTGTCACGCTGGCCACGTGACCTGGAAGTGTCTGCGGACAGCGCTGGCTCCCGGCCTATAGAGTGAGATGAGCGCACAACCCTAGAGTCTGGCAAGACTGGCCCGTACGGGCAGGGGTACCTTTACCTTTATACCCTTGATGGGGGTTGGAGAGTGTGCACAAAAGATGTTAAGTTGCTCAAAAGCTACAAAGTCAGTCTGCTGGCACAGAGTGGGTCCCTCTTTGAGTGAAAGGCAGCAGAACAAGGGGAGTTAGTGGGCTGCCTTAAGTGAGAGATAGGGTTGCAAAGGCCATTTGGTTGTTTAGACTTTTTTATCTCTTTTTATTCAGGTATTTGGTTAAATTGGAAATACTACCTGTTGTCCTTATTGTGGTTTAAGCTTTACTTGCCTTGTGATGCAGATGGTTTAAATTTGTTGTAGTTTACTGGAGCTGATATTAGGCTGACCAGCTGTAATTTTCATATATTGTTATCCCCCACGTCAGTACTGGTCATTGTCCTCTTCGGATCACCACACAAACGCTTCTTGTTCTTTTATAACTTTTTATTGCATATTAACAAAACAACCTTATACACGGTTCTTAACTATTATTCCTCAGAGTCACTTATTTCAGATACCTTCTGAGCTCTGCTTCTCCGTGACCAGCCACTCTCAAAATGTCAAATGCGCCCTTCCCTTCGCTTTCTGCTCTTTTTTCTAACCTCCTGGCTAGAGCTGGCTTATATCTCCCCTCCTCCGAATCTGAGCTAGAACGTAACCCTTGCCTTTCCTGGGAACAGCCGGTCCCTCCCTGTTGCTCTCTTCTATTAGATTCACTGCTCTCCTTCCCCCTTTGGGGAATGCTTTCTCCCTCTGAGAAACTGGACACTTCTAACTCTTACCTGACACCCTATCCCCGGCTATATCTGCCTATTGCTTTGTTTTACTGTTCTGGGATTGAAAATATTTAGTGAATAGTAGAGTACAAGTACCTGAAATGTATAACATTAGAAGGAGACAGTGCTGTCCTTCGTAACATTTAATCGGGTTGTTGTGTACTTGTTTTTCCTAGAAATGACTGTGAAATGGATGCTGTCATGATAGCAGCAATAAACTCTTTGACTTCTTTGTTTGCATCAATCCCAATTTTTTCAATTCTGGGGTTCAAAGCAACAGTGGCCTATGAAGAATGCTTGGAAAGGTGAGCCATTCAAGTTTCACAGTTAGGAACCAATTTAAGGTGTTGGTCCAAGCCCTCTGTTCACAATTTGTTTTGTTTTTCATTGTCTAGAATTTTGTGTCATCCCCCCCCTTTAAACCAGTTTAGGGGACCCCAGAGGGCAGAATTAAAATAAGATTGTAGCATAGAACACAAAGTATACAATCCTGCATGTTCCATGTGCATATTCATTAATTCAGGTATACAGGCAACTTCCTGTTTGTATGGGGGTTGCGTTCCTGGTCCCAGCGCACGTTGTGCCCCTGGCCTGCCCCTATTTGAAGCAAATTGCTGTTGTTTTTCTTAGGGACGGTGGCAATGCAAATAATTCTTATCATTCCTTACTTTACTGACAGAAATGTTAAATACATCACCAAGGCATTCAGGAACGAAAGCATCACTGTAGACAGCAGCGCATTTTGGCTCAGTTACTTGAACGGAACGGATATCAATAAACTGGCATCTCTCAAACTGGCAAATTGTGATCGCCAGAAATTCCTTGATCAGGTATTCATACTCGCATTACAAAATGATCCAGTTGTAAAAGTACAGTATGCACTGATTTTGTAGTCGCCCAAACAACGCCACTTGCTGGGGCTATTGCCACAGACACGGCATTAGTTCCTGATGGCATTCATATGCTCTTTTTCTGCCAAGGCACCTATTTACAGGAAATGGTACAAAATAGTCTCAGACTTCGGCACCTTATGCATGATCTCTGTGAGCTGGGTTTTCTGGCTGCTGCCTTCCCTGATGGCATGCAGGTTTTAAGCAGGTGCATGCATGGTAAGGGCAAGGCTGCGTCTGTTGATAGGAACTGATGGCTATATGTTCCCTGGCTTGGGCATAATGGTGTCTCCATTACCAGCCATGGGCTTTTACTGAATAGGATCTGAAGTGATAGGGCTCCCCCAGAGCTTTTGCTGTTTTTGCCATGACAGGTAGTGCATTGAGTAGGGACCAGTAGGGTGGCACAAGTGGGGCTAGGTTGCTCTCCCAGCTTCCCAACAGTGCATGTTGCCATTGCTTATGGGGGAGGACAAGACAATGGGGAGCTTGGCGAGGGTGGCTGCTGTGGCAGAGCCAACCTGCTGCTTCTGTTGCAGCACTTGCACCATGCCAACCTCCCTGCCGCCTTGCTCCTCTCCTTCACATCGGCATGTGGTATTTTGGGAAGCCAGGTGAGCAATGCAACCTCACCTGAGAGGAAGCGATGACACACAACACTGTGTCAACAGCTTCGTGATGAATGAATGGAGCTTCCTTCTCTGGTCACATTCCATGAAGGTTTCTGCAGCTTCCACTGCATTTTTCTGTAGTTTCTCTGCTGGACCTCTGCCATGCTGCAAGGTGGTCACAGCCCTGGCTCTTCAGTTACCGTTGATGTGATGACCCAGGCAGGAAATTCTTCCAGAAGAGCTCTTTGGTTTCATACAAGCTGCTCTGTCTCTGGTAAACAAGCTTGTTACTCTGCCCATATGTATGAGTGCACAGAAACCACAAGTTGTTTGCCTGGTTATCTCCAAAGAAACACAACCTACATTCCCCCCACCCCACTGTGCTTGCACACAGAAGATGGGGCTCAGGGTACCCACCAAAACTCTTGTCCAGCCTGAGAAGTTTCCCCTTATAGTTCTGCAGAGACAGACAGAAACCACACCTGTGTCTGCACGTATGAGCACTAAAAGAACGACAGAAAGCATCCTGTGAGATTAGGTGCCTGCTTTTATTATTATGTTATTACCATTCCTTCACCCTTAGCTCCCAGGGCAAGTGACAACAATTTAAAATGCAACACTATAAACAGATTACAGCAACTTAATACCACTAAAACATGGTGAGTCCTAAAAATGCACATCGTAGGTTGAAGGTCAAGGTCAAGAGGGTTTTTTGTTTTCCCCGCCCACCCCAGTAAGAACTTGTCATCGGTAATGGCTGTATCTTATTCCAAATAATGGCTACCGTATTTTTCGCCCTATAGGACGCACCGGCCGATAGGACGCACCTAGTTTTTTTTTGGGGGGGGGAATAAAGAAAAACAATTTATCCCCCCCCCCAGCCGCGGCTTCAGTGCGCTCCGCGCTCTGGGCAGCAGTCTGCTATCCGCAGCCTAGGGAGCCCTGCGGGACGTCCCGCAGGCTCCCCAGGCTTGCTGATAGCTTCCTGAAGCCTGGAGAGCGAGGGGGGTGGTGCGCACCGACCCCTCTCGCTCTCCAAGCTTCAGCGAAAGCCTGCATTCACCCCATAGGACGCACACACATTTCCCCTTCATTTTTGGAGGGGAAAAAGTGCGTCCTATTGGGCGAAAAATACGGTAAGTGTTGAGTAATACAACATTTTGCCTTTGCATTAGCATAAATAACACTCAGAAATCAATCTGACAGATTTTACCATTATTTGTGAATTTTGCAGAGTGTTTCTGGAACCGGCTTGGCCTTTATTCTGTTCACTGAAATCGTCCTTAAGATGCCTGGATCGAACACTTGGGCGATTCTGTTTTTTCTCATGCTGTTCAGTCTTGGTATATCTTCCATGTTTGGATTTGTTCAAAGTATCTTGACGCCTCTCACAGAATCTCGCATTGTGTCTAGATACATACGCAAGGAGGCAGTTTGTGGTAAGACATCTTCTTCAAATACTTTTCTTATCAATACCATGCTCAAGATTAATACAGGCAAAAAAAGTCCCTCTTCAACAAAGCCTTGTGCTAATTCTATGGCCTTTTAATTGTGTTTGTGGGGGTGGGGGGGTAGGTGTCTCGTTTTTGTTCGATTTATTTTGTGCTTTTATCCTGTGTTTTTATCTTGTGAAACCGCCCTGAGATCTCTGAAGGGTGGTATATAAATTAACAAATAGTAACAGCAACAATAACAATACAGTGGTGCCCCGCAAGACGAATGCCCCGCAGGATGGAAAACCCGCTAGACGAAAGGGTTTTCCGTTTCGGAGGCGCTTCGCAAGACGAATTTCCCTATGGGACGAAAACGTCTTGCGAGTCTCGCCATTTCCCCCCCGCTTCCCCCCCTTTTTCTAAGCCGCTAAGCCGTTAATAGCCTTTTAGCAGCTTAGCCGCTAATCCTTTAATAGCCGCCAAGCCGCTAAACCGCTAATAGCGCTAATCCGCTTAGCCGCTAATGGGGTTGCTTCGCAAGACGAAAAAACCGCTAGACGAAGAGAATCGCGGAACGGATTCTTTTCGTCTTGCGAGGCACCACTGTAATCTGTTGGGCAGAATCTATATAGTTTTAATGATGCCAGATTGCACTCATTAACCGTTAAGGAGGATAGGTGAGCAGCAAAACATGGGTGTTTGGCAAGAATGGAACATCTATAAACACACATCTAAACACCACTGGTTAGGTTTCTTTTTATTTCCTTTGTGTTGTTGTCTGTAGGTTTAATATGCCTTACTGCCTTTCTGCTGGGCCTGGTTTTTACTCTGAGATCAGGAAACTACTGGCTTGAGATGTTTGATGCCTTTGCGGCGACCATGCCTTTGCTCATCATTGCTTTCTTTGAAGTGATCGGTGTTGTATATATTTATGGAATGAAAAGGTAATGTTTCTTTGCATATGTATCTGGATAAGCCCTTAGGTGCTGGTTGCTGTATTGTAACATCAGCATTACTCCTTATTAACAGTGATAACGTTCAAATAACATTTCAATGTCCTTCCTCTAGAATGTTAACCTGCAGTAGGCCCACCTAGCGAATTCACTGTGAACTGAGGACTTCCTCATTAACAGCTCAGCTCTTGGAGACTCGATTCCCAGCTGCTAATAGCTTTCTGAGCCAAGCCTGATTTTTTTTTTTTTTGCTGAATTTGTGAGTTCTTTACTACTGAAAGCACTTTTTGCAGCATTTAACTCACACAAGCAACTCAAGGCAGATGAACACATGCAGCCGTATTCATAAATAAGCAATTCTATTAAGAAATGAACACACTATGGAGAAGCTAGGCGGTTCAACAGAACTACTGATTCAGCATAACCCAGTGAAACTTAACTGCAGATTCGTTTAGACAAATTCTGCAATGCCTGAAAATTCTCAGCAAAATTAGCCTAATCCACCTACATCTTGTCATGCAATTCAGGATTTTTTAGTGATGGAGTGCCCCCCCCCCGGCCTGCTCTCCCACTTACATGGAAACTAACTCTAATGCTTGAAGAGGGTTTACAAGGTAAACTGGTGTCTAATCTGGAGTGCTTCAGACTGCTTTAGTGAGTTGTGTTTCAAAACTGGCTCCTTGGCTTCAGCGATAGCAACGCGAAGCCTCCGAAGCCTGCGCTCCGCTGAAGCCAGGAGAGTCTGCTCTTTGAGGCTGGCGGTGGGGGAAAGCAGCGCTTCCCCCTTCGCCAGCCCCAGAGGATGGGGGGCAGCGGGAAGGCGCGCGACGCCTTGCCGCTACTCTCCAACCCTCCTTTGGGCTTTTGCTGGAGATGGGGTAATTCCCCCACCTCCCGCAAAAGCCTTGCGCTCTTTAAAGGGACTCCACGGCTTCTGCTGGCTTTTCTATGAGGGGGGGGGATTCCCCCACCTCCTAGAAAAGCCCGCAGGAGCCACGCACCCTTTAAAGAGCGCGCCGCTCTTGGGGGCTTTTCCCCGAGGAGGGAGAAGGGACTGACTGGCCGTTTCAGTCCCTTCTCCCTCCTGGTTGAAAAGCCCGCAGGAGTCACGCGGGGCTCCTGTGGGCTTTTGCGGGAGGTGGGGGAATTCCGCCACCTCCCGCAAAAGCAGGGAGAAGGTCTTGGAGTAGCGCACAGGCTGCGTGCAGCCTGTCCACTGCTCCCAGAGCTGCAGGGGGGAAATCATATCTTTTTCCTTGATTCCCCCCCTGAAAACTAGGTGCGTCCTATGGGCCAGTGCGTCCTATAGGGCGAAAAATACGGTTACCTGCTCTACTTGTTCAAGTGATGAGCAGGCATGCGGTCAGAGGAGAAACAGAAGTTTAACTGGCTTCATTTTTAATATGGTTGCATGCAAATGAATTGTCCACAGATCCCTCCCTAAATATATCCATTTCATTAACAGATTCAGTGCAGATGTGGAAGAGATGACAGGAAGACCACTAAAATGCTATTGGAAGGCAACGTGGCAATTTTTCTCCCCAGGGATAATGTTCCTAATTTTTGTGTTCTACGTACTTCTTGAGCCGCCTGCAAGCTACAATACATGGAACCCAAATTACGTAAGTTACTTTTCTACATGTCATTACTAGTCTTCCCTTGATTTGCATTCATGGGGGGGGGGGATTCAGCTCTCCAATCTTGCTGCTATGAACTCCTGAATTGATAAAGATGCTCTGCTTAAGCACAGAATTCCTCTTTAATGGTTTGGCTTGACCTGCAAACTCTTCCTCTGTCTCCCAAGACAGATGGATGCCAACAACAACCTATCACAACAGGGCATCAGCTGCAATTTTTGTATTTACTTATGGAACTCAAGGTCGCCTCCATGTGGTTCCTAGCTTGTCAACGATTGAGACACTGACCAGTCCCAGACACAACATGCAGAGGATTGCCACTGGCACAATGGGACTTTCTTCCCCTCTCCTCCTCCCATGGCACCCCAAAATTTGGTCGGGGTGCACAAGGGAAGGAGAGAGGGAGAGCATGCCATCATGTGAGGCGACATCCTTGTGCTGATGAAGCCATACACTGCATGCAACCCTTTCCCTTTTGGAATATTGCCAACCTTTGCTTAGCTCCCACTTTGAAGTATTAAAGGTAAAGGTAAAGGTACCCCTGGGACGCGGGTGGCGCTGTGGGTAAAAGCCTCAGCGCCTAGGGCTTGCCGATCGAAAGGTCGACAGTTCGAATCCCCGTGGCGGGGTGTGCTCCCGTTGCTCGGTCCCAGCGCCTGCCAACCTAGCAGTTCGAAAGCACCCCCGGGTGCAAGTAGATAAATAGGGACCGCTTTCTAGCGGGAAGGTAAACAGCGTTTCCGTGTGCGGCTCTGGCTCGCCAGAGCAGCGATGTCACGCTGGCCATGTGACCCGGAAGTGTCCTCGGACAGCGCTGGCCCCCGGCCTCTTGAGTGAGATGGGCGCACAACCCCAGAGTCTGGCAAGACTGGCCCGTACGGGCAGGGGTACCTTTACCTTTACCTAAAGGTACCCCTGCCCGTATGGGCCAGTCTTGACAGACTCTGGGGTTGTGCGCCCCATCTCACTCAAGAGACACTTCCGGGTCACGTGGCCAGCGTGACAAAGCTGCATCTGGCGAGCCAGCGCAGCACACGGAACGCCGTTTACCTTCCCGCTGGTAAGCGGTCCCTATTTATCTACTTACACCCGGGGGTGCTTTTGAACTGCTAGGTTGGCAGACGCTGGGACCGAGCAGCGGGAGCGCACCCCGCCACTGGGATTCGAACCGCTGACCTTTCGATCGGCAAGCCCTAGGCGCTGAGGCTTTTACCCACAGCGCCACCTGCGTCCCTTCTTTGAAGTATTAACAAGCTGTAATTCCTGTCCTCACTTACCTGGGAGCAATCGCCATATAACCTGATGGGATTTACTTCCGCGTAAATGCATAGAAGATTGTGCTGTTCAGTGTGGCTTTCATGCAATACATTTGTTTCTCCCAAAGGTAAATTTTCCTGCAAAAGAGTCAAAAAAGTATCCTCCCTGGGCTGTCGTCATCTCTGAGATGCTTGAAAATGTACCATGTTTGATGATCCCTTTCGGAGCCATTTATCAACTTTGGAGAATTGTGTTGAAAAAGAAACTGCTACGAATAATACATCCAGATACCAGCACCGGTATCCCTGGTATCACCAGTAGCACCCGATCTTAACTTTTGTTTCAGCAATCTACTCACCCTTGTTTTCCCCATCCTATCCTGACCATTAAAAAACCCCCCACATGTATCCTCAAATTTAAGGTATTCAATCAGTAAGAATGTAGGGATTTCTACGTAAAACCATTTTCTAAATAAATGCATCTTTATATATAGCACTCAAGAATGTTCATAATGCATAACACATAAATTATCTAGTAAGTCTTACCACGCCAAGCATATAAGGCATATTTCCCCCTGACAATTCCAGGTTAGGTGAACTTTTTACACAGTAAAAAATAGAACTAAAAATTGAGCATATCCCATTACTTACTTTGCTGATAAAATACTTTGAAAACATTGCTTTGAGCTCATGTATTCATGACACTAAGCGTACTTTCAGGCACCAAATTACTACATTTTTCCTGCTTTGAGATTCAGGAGGCTGACTTAGCTATTTATTTCTTTTTCTTTTTTAAAGGAAAAATAAATCAGTTTACCTACAATAGGACTGCATCTATCAATCCAGAATGGCTTTGAAATCTTCATATAGTGATGGTTCTGTCACTTCCTTCAGGAGCTGTACAGAAGCTTCTGGAATTTGCCAGAGCAACCGTATTTCACCTGAAAAGATGAATGCTAAAATCAACCAATCGCTGCTCCGATAGACAAATCATTCCAAACAGGGTTATTGGGTGGTCCACAGGCTGTCTTTTAAAACGAGGGCGGCCATTTTTTGCCAATGCAATGCCTCTGGGCTGCATGGCACATTGGCCCACCCCATTCCTGCACTCCCAAGGACATTTTGAAACTGCACATGATGGGGAGCAGGCTTCCTAGCTGCTTCAAGCACCCCCCCTCCTGTAGTTTCCAGTTTTTGGAAGCAGTGCTGCCTCCCTCAATGGAGGGAGAGCAATAGTCATAACATCTAGTACCCATCTCCTCCCCCATGAATTTGTCTAATCCCCTTTTAAAGCCAACCAACTTAGGGACCATCACAGCCTCCTGGGGGAGAAAGTTTCATAGTTTGACCATAAACTGGCCCATCCCTAATATACAGTGGTACCTCAAGTTACATGCGCTTCGGGTTACATACACTTCGGGTTACATACGCTTCAGGTTACAGACTCCGCTAACCCAGAAATATTACCTTGGGTTAAGAACTTTGCTTCAGGATGAGAACAGAAATCATGCTCCGGTGGCGCGGCAGCAGCGGGAGGCCCCATTAGCTAAAGTGGTGCTTCAGGTTAAGAACAGTTTCAGGTTAAGTACAGACCTCCAGAACAAATTAAGTACTTCACCTGAGGTACCACTGTATATAAAAAGGAATTATATGGCTCAAATCTGCAACAAAGCTCTTTAAAAATAGTTCAATGCCCTTGAGAATCTCAAATACATATAACAGATTAACTTTTATTGCAAGCACTATGCCAGTGACTATACAGATAAGATGCCCCAATCAGAGCAGTATCAGCTTGACATCATAAAATCCACATATCTTTAAGGCACTATAGTTGTATCTATAAATATTTCAAATGACTTAGAAGACATTAGGCTTCTTCAGAAAACTTGCAACTTAGTGCATTCAGCTTCACATTTACATTTTTTTTAAAGGGGATGGGCATTCGGGGGGTGGGCGTGGGGAGAGACTTTGGCAGTCCCACTCGCCGTTGAACCCAATGTGTTTTGACTATACACAATTTATGCGCTATCCCCTGAACATAATGCCCGCCTAAGTTGAGAGTCACCCGTTCTAGCATTTTCCTACCCATCGATATCCTAATTTCTCAAAAGCATCCGTAGTTATTCCCTACTCCTACCCCCGCATTGTCAAGAATAATGATAACAGAAACTAAATTAAAGAGCCACTTCAAGAATAAACTTAACAGTTTTTAGTTGGAAAGGAAAATTAAGAGACATGAACAGCATTTGCATGTCTTGGCATGAAGCGGAGAGGTACTTACATTGTTGGAGTGGTACAAGAAGACATTTGTAAATAACTCTGTGATTTCCTAATTTCACACTGAAGGCACGATAGCAGAGCCATTGCACAGCTTTGTATGTAAGCGGCGCTGAACCACCAGCAGGAGAAAAAGGTATATCTAGGCATAAAGCAAGAAAGAATAACTTAAGCTTGTTTAGTGAAGAGATTTTATATTCTTTTTTTAACAATCAATTTTATTAAAAGTTTTCAACATATAATACAACAAAAACCAAGAGGATTTAATATCTAAAAAAACAACAACAATGAAAAGAGTAAGAAAAAAGAATAAAAAAGAGTGAAGGAAAAAGAAACCAAACACACACTATTCTGCCAGCCTTCTATTTTAATCTTCAAAACTGATACCCACCTCTGGTAGACAATGTCAATGTCTACCTGATCATTGCCATCCGCTTAGTGCCCATCTTGTTCCTGAGCCTTCCCAGTTCTCCCCAGGGGTAGATTCCACCTTTCTCAGCCTCACACCTTAAGAAAAACTACTTTTAATCTGTCTCTCACAGATCCCTTCCTCTTCAACATCTCCTTGTCCGCTCTACCACCCTCAAAAAGTAACTTAAATTTGAGGAAGACTTAATTGCAGCTATAATTGCCTAGATTCAATTGCTACCATCATCAGTTAAAAGGACTGAATAAAAGAGGCGCCAGGCAATTTAAATGTGTGTGTGAGGAAAAAGCACATCCTTAGCACCCGTCATATCTGTCCTGCAGGCTCTGCCCCAACCGCTCCATAGTGAACAAAAGTCTGCAGAGGGGGAGCCAGCTATACTCCCTTTATGCAGTCCCACTCCCCTTGTGCAGTTAACATGGTGCCACCCAGATACTGTGGGGATTGTCGTCCGCATTGACCCTGGCCATTGGCCACAATGGCTGGAGTTCATGGGACTTGCAGTCCAACAGTATCGGGAGGACACAGGTTGGGCAAAGGAAGTGGGGCAGCAAATGAGGCTCCTCCCTGCAGCCCAACCAAAACAGCAGCTTGTGAAAACAGGATGAAAGCGTTCAACTGGTCCGCCTTCAATGTCACACTTCTTGTGGGATGTAACATCACTGTTGCAGTCAAGTATAACGTTTCCTGTTTGCCTAGAGTGGACATGCAGGGGAATGTTGCTCCAGCCAGGAGGACTTCCTGTCTTGCCTGGTCTGGAGCATCCTCCTCCTGCGTGTGACCAGGTAGATGGGCGTGACCCTGGCAGACCCTATGAAAGGGGCAGTCATGCAGCCATCTTCCCTTCTCTCTCTTGATGCTCTTTTGCTGTCTGCTGGATCTCAGCCAGCAGCACATGGGCTCATTCCCCACGTGGAATGAACTCACACTTTCTTCTGTAGCTACAAGCTAAAGCCTGCCTTCAGGGATCCAACTGTGAACTGAAGGTAAGTAAACTTCTTCTTATTCTTAAAAGAAGACTATTGTGTCATTATTGTTTTTAAGAGGGAATTAAAGGGGAATTTACCAGCAAAATCCAATCTGGACAAGAAAAGACTAAAATTGCATAACAAGAGATTCTAACGAATCCACTAACTAGCTTCCTGTGATATACAGGTAATGTGCTCTGCCACTAACTCACTAGCCTGAGGAAGGATAATATTTAATCAATATATCCTCTCCTACTATCCACAGCATTCCCAATTTTCTCCTATTACATTCTGCCCCCTGTGGCTATTTAGAGAGGGGTTTAAAAAAGAGAGAGAGAAGGATGCAACGTTCAGTGAGATGCTTAATGTCATGTCTAGTTTGGTCCTAAGCAAGAAACGTTAAGTCAGAAGAACGACTCCCAGTAAGTAACTGTTCCCCAAGGGCTGCGGTTTTAGTACATTTATTTCACCTACCTGCATTTTTGGCTTTTAGTAGAGAGAAGCAACATGAGGCAGTGTCAGAGATTATCGCCAGGAAGAAACTGGGATTATTTCTAACTTGTTGGTTAAAAGGAAGCAGGAGGGCACACGCATGAAACCTGGAATTAAAAAAGAAGCAGCTTTCAGTGGTTTAAAACCCACTTAAATATGCACAGAATCTCAGCTCTGTGAAGAATTAAAATTCCACCGAATTCAGTAGTAAAAGGAGCCTGCGTTTTGTAAGCAGGCTCTGTAAAGAATGAAAACAGGCAGATGTTTGAGGAAAAATACAGTGACACCTTGTTCAGCCTTATACATCATGTTTGTTTATTTTCAAGAGACCTCCCCATGGTCTGGGGGGCTGTGTACACACCATAAATTTAAAGCACAACCCCCCCCACAATAATCCTGGGAACTGTAGTACTTTACCCCCCACAGAGCTGCAATTCTCAGCACCCTTAACAGCACCCAGGATTCTTTGGGGAAAACCACGTACTTTAAATTTATAGTGTGCAGGCAGCCTGGAATCTCTGTCCCAGTCCTTGACAGCTGTTGCACGGAAGAGCAAAATGGCGCCGAGATTAAAAACCTAACCTGGGTGGTTTCCAGTGACACCCAAGCCGTTCCCATTTGGCCTTGACCAAAGTGTATGTTCTGTGCGATAAGAATGTGTTTGCCAGGGGCAGGGGAAACCCTTGCAGGAGGAAAGATGCTTACAAAGCCATTAAAAGATAATCAGAACTTCAGAAAGTGAAGACAGGAAGTCTAACACACAAGGACAAGGCTGAAAGGGAACAGGTCAAAGTCCTGGCAGAGTTCAGCTAGACATAATGTTCCAGATTAATTTTTTTAAAATGTTAATGAATTACATGCTGAAGAGGCAGAGGCATCGGGGAACGAAGGCACAAATGTTGAGCAAGTGCAGCTACACACCCTTCGCTTTTGTTTCAATTTAAGTGAATTTACATCAGATGCTGATCTTCTGTATTACAGTGGTACCTTGGTTCTCAAACCTAATCCGTTCCGGAAGTCCGTTCCAAAATCAAGGCGTGCTTCCCCATAGAGAGTAATGCAAAACGGATTAATCCGTTCCAGACTTTTAAAAGCAACCCCTAGAACAGCAATTTAACATGAATTTTACTATCTAACAAGACCATTGATCCATAAAATGAAAGGAATAAATAATGTGCTGTACTATAAATAAATAAAACTACTGTAGATGATAAAAATAATTTTTTTTCTTATCATCACTGATGATAGTCATTGTTTGAGTGGGGGGCTTTCATCCATTTCTGCAGTCACACAATCAATCAATCTTTCAATCAGTAGCTGAACTGGGTTCCA